TGTATTGTTACTCTAGTTGGGGGTCACAGTGAATAATCTTTCTTCTCCCTGCTTACTCCACTCGGATTCTTCAAGAGTGAACCCCAGGCATGAACCCCAGCCATGGTTGCTTAATGGACTCTGACAGTTGTGTTCAGTATCACCCTTTTCTTGGAAAGGAAATACCTTTTTTTTTTTTTTACAGGAAAAATCTGTAAGCACAAGGCAGTTCCACACAGGAGGCTGGGACCTATTCAGTCAAGATCAAGACTGGCATTAATTTACCAGTCCTTCCTTGCTACGCTCAGTATAGTCCAACCAATTCTCATTGCTCATTCAGGGATTACCTTACCTTTCCAGTCTTGTAAATGTCCATTACCTTGAGGACTGGTGCCAGGAATTGCTATCCATTATCCCGAGAATTGTTGCAGACACATGTGTGCGTGCGTGCGTGCGTGGGTGTGCGTGCGCGGGCGTGCATGGGTGGGGGTGTGTGCATGCATGTGGGTGTGTGCATGCATGCATGTGTGTGCGTGCGTGCATGTGTGTGTGCAGACATACACATGCAGTTGAAGAGCTGGCTGTGAGACCAGGGAAACTGGTCCAGCAGAAACATGTATTACATGACATAAAGAACAGAGGTATTCCCCCCAACTCATTATAAAGTAGGTAAAGGTACTCACCAAGGAACATCATCAGGGAGCCATTGCCATGAGGATGACTACAGGAGAACACCTCTGTGAGGACACTCTCTGTTGATGACTACTACAGATCCTGACTGTGAAAGAAAACTGAAACATGGTCGAGCACTGGGTTTTTTTCTCCAATTGGACCCTGACAGACTGAAATGAAATAAATTCAGTGGTGGGAAAAGTCAACTCCATTTGATCTGTTAATTTAATTAGAATTAATTAATTCAAATAAAAGTAAAGAAAATAATCCCACAATCAGCACAGTATTGCTGAGAGAAACATTCAGGTAACACATTAGGGTTCAACAGACAAATCTCAGCCACAACAATTCAATCCCACAGCAGCAGATGACTAAGACAAGTCCCTCCACTCATGAAATACAGTTTAAATCACAGAGTATGTTGTCCTGTATATCTGAGAGATCCAAAAGTACCATGACAGCCCCCATAGCAGATGGCATCTTGGGCTCCCAACAGATTTTGCAGTATGCAGCTTTCTGGAAGGCAGCTGTGGCACCCAGGAACACTGTGAAGGACATTGCATTTGTCAAGTTGTTTACAGATATCTTACATTTGTAAGTAACTTGACAGTTCTCATTTCTTCCAGATGTCCAGGACAGAGAGCAGTTATATTGAGCTTCTTTGTTATCTGGATCTATTTTGCTGGACAAGATAAATTCATTGCCATGCGAAGTTAACAGTAATGCTGGGCTTTGCCCAGGCACAGAGACAGATGACCACAGCACCTGTTTCAACCCCAGCCCCAGCAGTTAGCCGTGGCAGAACCAGGAGTCACACCGTCACGCCACCCTGAGGGGAGTGCTGGGAGCTCCTCTGATCCTAAGGGGCTGGGTTTTGGTTGTCCTGCAGGCAGAGCAGGACATGTCACCAAGGGTTTTTTCTTGGGTAGGCTGGAGACCTCTGGTTTTGCTCTGTGTTGTGATCGTTTGGGCAGACTAACATGCTGTGATTTTCTCATGAGAAAGTTTTCTCTCCCTGATACTGAATAGCTTGTAATCACCTTAATTGTACCTCTCTCCCCTAATGTCAGACAGAGACCAGAACTAATTCAATCATATTGGCATAGACACGGATCAGCACTTAGCTGGGTGGCTCATGCAGGGATCTGGCAGCACTCCTGGTAAGTGTAAAGGTAACACAATCAAGGAGAATATGTGAGTCCTGGAGATTTCAGCTGGGGTCAGTAAAGTCAAGAGCAAGCAGGCATCTGCATTGAGCATGGAACCTGTCCTCCACATGGGTTGGGCTGCACTCTCCCATGCCTGTTTCTCCATCCTCTCAATCTATCATGTAAATGCTGTGATTAGGGAGCCCTGTAGCATGACCTAGCATTATAATAATAGTAATTGTCTGTGCTTCAGGACAGGAGTCACAATGTTTCCAAACGCCTTCAGAGCAATGAGTATCAACCCAGGCAGAAATAAATGGTTCCATCTGCTCTTACATAAAGTCCATCCTTCCCCATTGAACAAAAGCATTCAACTTTCAGACAGCAATAATTTTATTTGGATGAATAATGCTCCAGTCAAAGGAAAAAGAAGCTGTGCTGGGGATACCAGGGCTGTTATTCTGCTTGATGTCTCTGGGTGGACACACAATATCTTTACAAAACTGCACTAAGTGGATGAGTTGAGTTTAGCTTCAAGGCCCGCATGACTGCCATTTACATAATCCTGGGCTACTCACAGTTGAGAGTACCAGTTGTGTAGCCAAGCACATCCAGGAGCCACCTGGGTTTCACAGGAAATCAGCTTGGCCAGAGCATAGTTTTAAGTTACTTGCATGCAAATTCTCATCATTCAGTGATGGGACAGTTTGTCCCTGCGCCGGTGCCATCATTGACACACCACCTTCACCCAGCCCTCAGGAAAAGAAAAAGGAAGATGGTGGTGGTGAGTTCACTTGCCAAGGGCTGTTCCTTCAGAGGAGGCTCTGAAAAAGGACATCTGCCAGATTCAGTGCCTGGGGGCTGCTCACATTAAGCACCAAGTCCCTAGAGGCAGCAGCCTGAAGCACCGCTCTTGGCTGGCCTTGGGAACTGACACACACCAGAGGGGACAGGACTCTGCCAACCACTCCTTGCTACTGTTAGAAGTGGGAGCACTTCATAATTGCAATTACTTTGTTTTATAAGCCAGCTTGGATGAGCACGAGGCACAGAGTGAAAGGTAAAATGCTCTGCCTTAGTGCTAGCAGAGGTGTGCCCTACATCAGTTTTAGCTTGCAGCGTCCCTCTCTCCTCAAGCACCCTTCCCATGTAGCCCATAGGTACCTTAGGGATCTGGCACCCCTCCTCACATGCCCTTCATCCTGCCCATCAAGAGGCCCAGAAGCACCCATGGGTGCCTTACAGCAGGATGTTACTGCCAGATGTACAGCAGCAGGCAGCTTGCCGAGTTAGTCTAAAGGCACCAAAGCAATCCAAGTCCTGGCAGTAGGAAAGGGAGGTGAGGATTTACAGCTCTGGGAGCAGCCCAGGGGAGGAAACTGTGAGCTCCTAATGTACCTGGAGTCACAGATTTTTTTGCCCTCCAGTCACTGACTTTAACTTCATCTTCAATAACATCAAGCACATGAGAGCTGGTCCCACATCTTCCATTTCTTCTGCAACTACCTGGGACTGAGCACAGAAGACACCAGCCCTCCTCGAGGGATAATGCCATCTCAACCCACCCTTCCCTTCATCTCAGTAGTCATCAGTTAACATGAGACCTCCCTCTTCTTGGAAAGCCAGCAATGGTTAAGCTCAGGCCTCATAATGGTGCCTCCAGACATAACTCTCCCTGCAAGACTGAGCCAAAACAATCTTCTTGGCCATACAGTCCTGGCACCCCTTTGTTCTGTGGGCTGCAACTGCCTGAAAATTCACACCAATATAAGGATCTAAATGGAGTCCATTGGATAGGCTGCAATTTGCCAAGCTAGATTCTGGATCAGGCCCTCCCAGAGAAAGGCATGTATTTCAAGGGATTTTTAAACACAGATTGTTTAGTGCCATCTAGCAGACTGAGGTACTGTAATCAATTCATGCCAACAGTTTTGACACATGATCAATATTTTCCATTAGGGAGTATTCTTCATTAACAGAATTACTTCATCTTGTGCTCAGTACATCTTATCTACTGCTCTTGCCCCAAAAACAGGAATGGAAGACACTTGAAAACAATGGAGAGACCTCAGATTAGAGCAGCAGAACCTGGGGACAGGAAGATGTTAGCACAAACCCCTGCGCAAGGCCCCTGTGGAGCAGGCCGAAGGCTCAGTTACATTGCATCTCCCAAGTACCTGTCAGTGCCACTGCCTCTGAAAACCACTCACTGAATGTCCAAGCAAAGGGACTGTACCCCTTAGAAAAACCCCACACTGCAGGGAGCTCTGCTAGCAGCAGCCCAGACTCCTGCATGCATCCCCAGCCTGGCACACAGCCTGCAGTCAGATGTGTGGATGCTGTGCCAGACCCTGCAGGAAAACTGCAGACACAGCAAGCTGTTTGCAGATTTGCTAATATTAGAACATTACATATCTTGCTTCTAATGAAGCATCATGGCTTTGTGTTAGAAAGCAAAATCCTGCTGCTGTGTTCTGTACGGCTTCCTGCCCACAACATGTAACCATGATCTTCCTGCTTGTACCAATGACTCCTAGCTGGCTGTTGCCCCAGACAATAGCTAAATCTAGAATAAGTCAACCTTAGTCCAATTTTTCCCGAAGTGTTTGGTGCTGTTTTAAATAAAGCCACTTCCATCTTTTCCTGACAATTTTAATGAAAAAGCTTTCCTGGAGAGAGATGATTTTAAAGAAGGGGAAGAATTAAATGCACACACTTAAAACAACATGAGTTTCTCTAATGACTCCAGAATGAGCTGCTGTCCTTGTGCAGAGGACCCAGTGCAGAGAAGGAACAATCCCACTTGTACACCACAGCTTGGTGATGCACTGACTACCTGACAGCTTGGCAGCACACTCCTGAAGGCTCTCCTTGGCCCTCAAACCCAATAAGCAGCAAATGTCTCTGAAGAGCAAGAGATCCAGCTAGGAGCAAAGGTTTGTTCTCACCAGGGAAAACTACACTTCAGTGGTTATCTTCACCCTTCTGCCACAGGCAGAAGAACTGCACCATCAAAACCAGCTCTCAGCACAACGCTCCCAGGACAAGCGATGCCTTTGAGGTGCGGAGAAGGCCTACTAGAATTCAAATATCTCTGGACTTTTTAAGAATATGCAAACATAGTTTCTTAAATTGAAGCACTGCATAAGAATATTATATATCACACTTGAGCTTGACAGAACATTGTTCAGTCTTAATGTAATTAGTTGTACAGCCAGAAGACATCACTTATTTCCTCTGCACAGATAGTCCATACAGGCACCAGACTGACAAACGAAAGGAACTGAAACAGAAAAATATAGTAATTGTTTTTTTTTTCAGGATATTTTACTGTTGGCTAAAAATACCAATTCCACAGTCAGGAAAGGAGACCACCTGAGGAAACACGAAAAACCAAGGAGAAAGAAAACACTCCTCAAAACAGATTGCTCAAGGAACAAAATGAAAGCAGTTAAGAATGAGCTGCTCCCACCCAATGCATAATAAACACATAGTAAATAATAATAACAATAGAAAACTGATAAGGGAAGGAAGAAGATTGCTATAATGAACAGAATTACCTTGATGACCTGCAATAATAGCAAAGACAGGACAGAAGAGTAAATGAATATTTCTGTTCCTCTTGCCAAGTGGTCATAATGTGTTCCTATCACAGGATGCTGAAATACATCTACATTTTCCAGGAACTCTCAGGCCAGCCAACACTGGCTTTCAGTAAATCTTCAAACTTTTCAGAAGGTGTCAGGGCTAGCAGAGAGATTTGTAAAGGAACCAGGAGGACACATGTAACTGTACAGCAGTCAGCCTGATACCAACTCAGGAAAATAATGGAAAGGCTGAAATGGGATTCTTTAATTACTATATCACATGATGGTAAGACAGAGCTTGTAAAATTACTTCTTACATAAAATATCCACTTGCATTGAAAAATACCAAGTTACTTTGATGAGAGCTATTTTCTATAACCCTACTTTGACTGGCACTGTCTACCAGACCATACCTGAATGCTTGATTAACACATCAGAACAGTATCAGAATAACGCACACTAAGTGGGTTAAAACCCCGTTAAAATGTCTGTGCCACAAACCACAGCTAGAAAGGGAGAATCATTGCTGAATGGGTATTGCTAGTGATCATAGAACCATAGAATCATAGAATAGTTAGGGTTGGAAAGGACCTTAAGATCATCTAGTTCCAACCCCCCTGCCATGGGCAGGGACACCTCCCACTAAACCATCTTACCCAATGCTCTGCCCAACCTGCCCTTGAACACAGCCAGGGATGGAGCATTCACAACCTCCCTGGGCAACTCATTCCAGTGCCTCACCACCCTAACATGAAGGAATTTCTTCCTTATGTCTAATCTAAACTTCCCCTGTTTAAGTTTTAACCCATTACCCCTTGTCCTATCACTACAGCCCCTAATGAAGAGTCCATCCCCAGCATCCTTATAGGCCCCCTCCAGATACTGGAAGGCTGCTATGAGGTCTCCACTCAGCCTTCTCTTCTCCAGGCTGAACACCTCCACCTTTCTCAGCCTGTCTTCATGCGGGAGGTGCTCCAGCCCCCGGTCATCCTCTCGGCCCTCCTCTGGACTTGTTTCAACAGCTCCACATCCTTTTTATGTTGAGGACACCAGAACTGTACACAATACTCGAAGTGAGGTCTCACAAAGGCAGAGGTATCCTTCATCACCCATGTTGTCTGGCAGGCTGGCAGAAGACAAGCATTTATTTGGCATTTCAATCTGGCCGAATATTGACTTGTGTTAAAAGAGAAGCCCCATTTACAGCTGGTGTCTCAGACCTACCTGGAAATGGAAGTTGTATACACTCAGGCTGGAACCAACTTGGATTTGAAGCATTCTTATCCCCTGTGGCTTCACCACAGCCCCTCGCTAATGGAAAGGAATATTAGTGTGGGGGTCCTTGTGGAATGGTGCATCTATCTCTTTTTCAGACATCCCCAGGCACAAGCAGGACCCAGAAGACTGGCCAAGCTTCTGAGGACTCAGCACATCTGCACACAGTCTTACCCACTGTACATGGCTCCCATGCCTCTTAATGTAAGGACAGCAGCAGGACCAGCCAGCAATCCTTCCAGATCACTAGACAGGAAAGAAATCTTATTGCATTGAGGTCTGAGCCTTTCTGATGAGCCTCCTGCACTCAACGGATCTTAATTTTTCCTCAGCTTCTCTCTTACCAAAGAAGTAGCAGCAATAGTATCACTGAAATAGCACCCATAACAGTCTCTTTCCCACTTTGAGTGGGGGCTTGCAAGGTCTTGTTAACATTCCTTAGTCCTTTTGAACACTAATTATTTTTTTGAGTCAGAGCTCAATCTGGAAACACACGTTTATTAAAAATAGAAGGCAGCTAAGCATTTCCAAACCACAGAAGCACGAAATCAATGACTAATACTTTACCTAGTACATGCTCTGTCAGAGCATTCCCCCACCTAAACAGACATTGCCTCTCACCAGCCATCCCCAAAACCTCCAGATACTCAAGCACTCTTGGCAGGCTTTGCAGTAGGCCTTCCCTCTTGACCCAGCTCTTCCACTGCTTTAACACTGCCTTCTTGGCTTGCTGAGACACCAATAGCTCCATCCTGGCTACGGATAGACTGAGGATGTAGCCCAGCACTGTCATATTCATGCTCAGTACATACAAATTCATGTGTTCTGCCAGGATTGAATGTTTACAGGAATAAAGCCAATGCACATCTCACCCCCACACCTCCCCCCTGGTGCCAGCAGGGTGCCTTGTGCACAGGCCTATTGCTGATTGATGCTCCATGGGAAATATACTGGGCTCTTTCTAGCTCCAGTCCCCAGAGAACCACATGCATCCCCTGTATCCTGAAGCTGATTACACAATCCTGCCATGACCCCTCCATCCACTGGACTACTGTATAAGAAGCAAGCAGGGACAGTCTCCTGGAAATGAGCAGCAAACAGGTTTTAGTGCCCCCCCAATCCCAAGGAATGAGAGCCAGGTTCTGAAAATGGGGGACACAAGAAGGAAAAGCAGCTCTGCTATAGCAAACACTTTGAGACCTGGGCATTTGCTCTGCCAAGCAAGTTGCCTAGATAGCCCCTGTGTTTTGGGACTTTCAAATTGAGTATCTGATTGCTTGAGATATATATTTGAGAATAGACTGTTTGAGAGATGAGGAAGTTGTAGAGAAAACCTGTGTAGTGATAATTAGCAATGGTGGTTTCTTTTTATCTAGTCCCATTAGGCTCTTGTAAGGCTGAATACTTTTCTGAAACCTGCTGTTGTGTGAAGCCTACAAAACAAATAACTTTTCCAGTCAAGTTTAGAAACTTGCTTTTTGTGTTTTTAAAGGGTCTTCTTTTATTGGAGATGAAAAATGTAGTGGCAAAGCTAGAATATATGGCAGGAGGCCATATATCAACCTCTGCACCACCTCGTCACTCCTGCTGACAATCATGGATATGGGACCAGACAGGCGTGAAACTACACTTCACTGTGACTCTATGGAGCAAACACCCAGCTGTCGAATCAGCTTGCCTGCTGCCATTTCAGATAACATAAGCACTGTCAACTTGGGGAGTGGAGGGTAAGAAAAATCCTTTTCTCAGTCCCCAGGCTTTCTGTGAGAAGGCCCAGGCCCCATCCCAGGCATCATGGGAAACTGTGCCCAATGCAGCATTAAACATTCCTGTCTGTGAGTAGCATCCCTTAGGACTACTGTAGTGCTCAGTAATATGCATAAGGTTCTTACAAGAAATGCATCTTTGTAGCCTTGGTGAAGACCACTGTGGTCTGAATTTCAAAATTAGTTTAGCACCTTTTAATATGAAACAACATGAGCAGCAGGAAAGGCAGAAAACATTATTAGGAAAGGGTGAAATACATTGTGGCAGCTCCTGTACAAGAGCAGATGGTAAAGGGCTGACTAGCCACCCCTCCAGCCTGGTCCCTCCAGTTTGACCAGCCATGTAATGCTGCTGGCAATCCCAGCCTGCACTAGGAGAAGCCCCTCCTTGGAGGCTGCTGTAGGTCTAGATGCCTGGAAAGAGCTACCTGCAACTGAGTCAGGACTCCCACTCCACAACAGGTGGGTCCTGGAAGCCCCTGAGCCACCCCATGAAATCTCTGCCAATGGGCAGCTGCTGACAGGCTGATTTGCTGACAAGGTGGAGCATGGACACCTTGACCCCCTACTAAAAGCCCGCCTCCTGCAGTGTCGCCGTGGGGCTGAGGTCGGCTTGACACCAGGCTTCCGCCTCCTCTGTGCCCGGACCTCCAGGACCTACAAGTCGGCTGGGGCTGGGGCTGGGGCTGGGGCTGGGGCTGGGGCTGGGGCTGGGGCTGGGGCTGGGGCTGCGGCTGCGGCTGCGGCTGCGGCTGCGGCTGGGGCTGCACTTCCCTCTGTGGCTGACCCCGCAGCCGCGCTCCAGGAAGCCTAGCCCAGCACCGACACGCGATTACGTGCTGCTGCTCCGCTGCCCCCCCGCGCCCCGGCCCAGCGGCAGGTGCTGTCAGGGGGGTCGGGCCGGGACAGCCAACTCTGCCGTGGGATTCCGGTAACGGAACATGGAGCAGGCAACGGGGTAAGGCCAAACACGGCTAACGGGGAATGTGGGAGAGCGGCAGCGCCGAGCTGCACTCTGGGGACGTTCCCTTCTCCCGGGTGCCCCAGGCACAGCCCGCCACTCGGTGTGAGGCTCAGGAGAGGGCAGCTGGAGCCAAGGCTGCTGCACTCCCGCCCTCTCCCACTTGCAGGCAGGACGCAGCTCCTCTGGCAGCCACAGGGGCTGGGGCCAGCATCTCCATGCTGCCTTCTCCACCCATTCCTCCTGCAGCAGAGGCAGCCAGTGCTTCCAAAAACCTGGAAGCCCTTCGTGTTGCCATGCACCCACCCGGCTCTACAGGCTTGGTTGCACTCATCCCTCCTGCCGATCAGGCTGTGGAGAAGAGATGGTGCCATGCTGATAGCCTGCATCTAAAGGAGCTGCATGAAATGAGGGCAGCTTTTTCCCAACTGAAGTGTTGCTATGCTCTTGCTCTAGCTTAGGCAGTGTTCCCCACCCTGCAAAGGCAGCCTTAACTCAAGACTCACATTCAGGGTTATAAAGGCCACCCTGCCCCCGGGCGATGGCCTGCATCCTCCAGTCAGGGCCCAGCAGCACATGGCTGCTGGCAGGGGTAGTCTGTCTGCCCTACAGGTCTATAGGTCACTCACCTGGATCAGCTCCAAGCAGAAATAGAGATGATGAGCCAAAGCCCAGATCTGAAAAATGAGATCCAACACTTCCTGAACCAGCTGGCAATAAAAATATTCTTTGAGACCAAATGGGACATTGCTGCCTTTGCCATCTTCCTCATCTTTGTGGGTGACTGCATAGCTCAGCATGAGGCATATGCCAGACAGCTTCTCTAGACGCTGGGCTTGGCAGGCAGCTGCCCTAATACCAGCAACTCATACAGACCCCAGCAGCACAGCCCTGGAAGAACACGGAGTGTGGCCACTCCATTTACATTCATCAGGGAAGGGCAGCAACAACAGCAAAGTACAGGGGCCCAAAGGAAACATATACCCTGTGTAACCTCCCCTGGTTGCAAGACCACTTTCATAGCTATGCCACTACCTTGCCTAATGCTAGCACAGATCAACCTGTCTGGACTCAGATGGTGTTTGTGGGGTTGCCATACTGTGTGTGATGTACATTACTTCACCCAAAGTGCTGCAGTGCTAACCAGGAAAAATGGAAGCACACAGCCAAGAGGGTATTTGTTGAAATGCAGGGTAATAAAAAGGAGACACAGAGGCTAATGCCAATGTCACTGCCCACTTTTCTCCAGGGACTATGTTTCTGCTGCTACTCCTGGCACTGATCCACTGCTGCTGCAACTGTGATTCCCCAAAACAACGCAAGGTGATAAAACCCAGTCTGTTCACACAGGGGTGATCTGGGACACATAGGATCTCCCAAGGCTGCAGCCTGCCTTGCAGTATCTTTGTTGCTTGTCATAAGGGGGGAGGTTCATGGAGGCAGAAGAGAAAAGAGGACAGAGCACTGGACAGACCCTGCTCTCCCCTCAGAGACACACTCCTCTCTCAGGGGAAATACAGCTGAGCCACCTTGGGGGGGACGTTCACACAGAGAAGGTGATGGGCAAAAGAGAACAGGCCTGGAGATGCTTGGGTAGGCAAGAGACATGCCTGGGATCTTTGCACTGTTCTGAGGGAGGGAGGTACCTGAGCTGGATTAGAAAGCATGGAGACCATTTTAATTCATGTGTTCATGCATGTGCAGACTCATTCCTGTCCTCTTTAAAATGACACATCGTTTTCCAAAACTAGATTCCCAGAAGCAAAGTGGGCACAGACAACCTGGCAATAGAGCCCTAAACCCACCTCCACCTCATGGCTGGACAAAACTGTTCTTCGTGCTGCTTCCCTCTGCTACTCCTACAAATCAGAATCTATCTTTACCCTGAGTGCCAAGGGCTGCTCAGCCACTTCCATCCTCCTCTACATGGCTGAATGTGTATCCCTTACATGGTACCTGCAAAGCCATCCTAGGCTAATACACCCACTTGAGTCAGGCCACTCCACAATCCCTGTAAGATACAGTACTTGAGGGCAGACTTTTCAGCTACAAGCAAGAGACCATCCTTTGCTACTGCAGCCAAAGTGGAGAAAAGGAGTTCCCCCATGCAGAGCCAGTAGTCAGGGGAACTGCCAGGGAATGAGGGCAAGGAGGAAGATTGCTTTCCCTCCAGCTAGAAGCTGGAATCCTTTTCCAAGCTCACAGCTGCTGATCAGCAAAAACATGCTGTGCAGCATCCTCACACTAAGATCCCTTCTGGGATGACTATGAAAGAATGACTATGACTATGAAAGAATCATAGGCCCAGTTATGATTCTTCCAGGGGTTTGGGCTCTGGCCCTTCCATTACAGGCTTAATTTCCAGCAGGACTGAAAGTGAAGAACAGCTGCCTGAACACCTAATCACAGAATCAACTAAGTTGAGTTTGGAAAAGACCTTTAAGATAGAGTTCAGCCATTGCCCCAGCACTGCCAAGGCTACCACTAAACCATGTCACTAAGGGCCTCATCTACAGGGTTTGTGAACACTTCCAGGGATGGTGACTCCACCACTGCCCTGGGCAGCCTGTTCCAATGGCTGAACACCCTCTGTGAAAGAAACTGTTCCTAATATCCGTCTAAACCTCTCACAGCACATGCTACATCCACTTTAGAAACAATTTACCTCCCTCTTCCCAGGGGACACAAAAGCATACAGAGACAAAACTGCTCTGTGCAAAGGAGCAGTGGCTCCCTCCTCCCTATAGCCTTTGTAGAAGACGCTTGGGGCACCAAAGAGAAAGTTGCTTCTTCATCCTGAATATTAGCAATGCCTCCAGTTTGAAAAGCATCACCCATCTTTCAGTCCCAAGTAGAGCCAGGTTTTCAATTAGTACAGTCCCTCTGTTTTAGGATGATGCTTTGTATCCCCATGATGGGGCAGGTCACCCTTCTTTGCTGGGACACATACAAGAACAAGAACGGTCTGATTCTGTCCAGAGAACACCAATTCCAGAAGGCAATACCCTGAAAGGCAGCAAAGCACCTACTTGTGAATAGGAGTGGTAGTTGCATACCTTTCCAATGTTCCTATCATAGCTGGAAGACAGAATTAGGCTAGGTATGTCAGGTGCAATGACAAGCAAGCCCTGGCAGTGGCAATACTTGAGCAGACTGGCATCAGCACACACAAATACCTGCAGTTTCAACCCCAGATCCAGGAAAAAATGATTATATCTTTAAAAACATTTAGCCTTAGCTGAGCTCAGCAAGTAGACTTTCTTGTCTGCTCAGTGCTGAGATGCTGGGTGTTGGATAATGCTCGCTCTCTGGGACTACTCTGTGGACAATGCAGAAAGAGCTGCTCAGATTGAGATAAGAGGCAGTAATAAACTTTCTTCATTACTCTCTTACTACTCTACTGCTGTCATTAGCCTGATGCAGTGATGTTACTGAAAGATGCCCAGCAAGTATCTTCTCCATCTTAGTTCAGGCAACTAATTCCTTCTTGAAGGGCATATAGAAGCTGAGCAGCTGAGGCCCATGGATCAGTGTCTTCTGTGGTTCCAGAATCAGCATCGTCCAGGCAGCAGTAACTCAACTGCTAGACCCATCAAAAGCAGATAGCCAGAGGATCTAAGCAGTAGACCTCTATCCCCTGAAGACCAAGTAGAGATTCCCTGGGAAAAAGAACAGTGCCCCCAGGAAAGGTTTTATTCATGCGAACTATAGCTTCCCCAAAGGAAGCTGCTAAAAAAACAGAAAATAAAACCCCAACCCAGGAAAAGGCAGTCTATTTCATTTGGCTGCAGCTGCACAGCAGTGTGTGCGTGTATCCTGAGCTCAGCTGCAAGTTACTTTTCTTCTTCTTAGTAGCTGGTACAGTGCTGTGTTTTTGACTTGAGTCTGAGAAGAATGCCAAGCAGTCACCAAAGAGTGTGGCCCACAGCACGTATGAGTTGCATTTGCAAAGGGAGGGGTGGGGTGGGCTGTCAGTAGTTATTCCAGTATCAATCTCACTGGGCTGCAAAAGCAGAGCCTTTAGGGCCTTCTGCACTCAGAAGTTTAGTGGGGAAAGAGAGAGACTTTAAAAGTCTTAATTGGTGAACCCTTGTTTTATCTTTCAAATCAAGGAGTACCAGCCCAGGGCATTGGGCCAGCCTCTCCTGCTGAATGCAACTCACATTGATGTTGCTCTGTTCTGTAACAGTAACCTTGTCAGTGTCCTGTAGCAACTAACCACTGTCACTCAGCAGTCCTCCAGACACAGCATCAGAGCTGTGCACCACAGCTGGGATAGGGACAAGTATTCCATCTTGCACACTCCTGCCCTCCAGAGCTGAAAAACAGCTATTTTCATCAGAAGAAAACAACACACACTGACTGGGTTGCGGGCTACATCCCCATCAGCAGGAAGCTGAGTTTGAGAGGATGTGGCAACATTAACTGGACTGCACACACTAGTGTGAATTAAAAAAGGAGCCTCTTCAACACCCAGGGTGGGTTAAAGATGAGCACAGACAGCTCCATAGAGGTTTAGTAACTATAAAAATACTCTCTTACACGAAGCTGTTAATGGTGAGCAATTCCACATATGCTCGAGCACTTTCCAAGTGAAGAATGGTCTGGAACAGAGCAAGGGTTGGTAAATAAATACTCAGGGTCATGACCACAGCTAGTCATAAGGCTAATTGACTGGAATCAGTAGTGAATCAGCCCATCCAGGCCTCTCTCCCTTAGGTGCATCTTTCATTAGTCATTAACAGACATATTCATCAGTCACAGCCTGATATTCACTTGCAGGCTCTGTTACCACCTGCAACCTGTAATAGTGTGCATTAGACCAAGCACAGCACCAAGTGTCCTCAGGGAAGGAGGCTGCAGTAAGAAGGCCGGCACTAACCTACTCGGGATCCCTGCAATCTCACAAAGCGATGGAAAGGAACATCTACTCTTTCATTCTCAGCACTGACAGCCCACAGGAACATGGCAGGTCGATTATCTTTATTTTACAGTTTCCAAAGCTTAGAAGGATGAGTTACATACTGTAGCATCCATAGGTAGGCAATAAATTGTAGAACTGTAATAGCCACATGCTACTCACTTTGGGTTTAATAACAGGATGTGAGACTGCACAGCTGTGCTCAAGGTATCAAGGCAACTCCAAAGGCTGGCAGTGAAAACAAGATACTAAACCTGGAAAAAAATAATTGGACAAACCAGGGCTTAGGAAAAAAATATATTATCACATTAATGCCAGGGGGCAGGGGAAGGTAAAAAAGACCAAAACTCAGCAGACTATCCCCAGAGGGGAATCAATAGCATGGACAGAACAGACAGAAGAGGGAAAAGCTTGGGGCTAGTCGTAATCACATCTGGAGCAGATCACAAGAACATGTTTCACTGCAAGGAGCAACATGCCCTACACTTTTCATGGTGTGTTAAATTACCCTGTCTTCACCCCTTCCCAGGCAGCTCACAGCCCAGCAGTTAGTTACAGCACTGTGTGCAAATACAGCTAGAGTAGCCCACAGCTCCCCATCCCCTGTAATGGACTAGTGTAATTAATCAGAGGCTTGGAAAGTGTAAACCACACAATGCACATGAGAACAAAGACAGAAGCAATCTCTTGCCAATGACACAGCATTGCTTAGTGACCTGTTTATGCAGCAGCTCCAAACAAAGCTACTAAAGCTGTGTCTTAGGATACACTGACCCTACCCTATGGAGAGCCACAGGGTAGGTAGTGAGCCATAGCACTCTTCAGGTTGACTTGGACTCAGCTGGCATATTTAAAACAAAGACACTGGAAGTGGTGTAAAGGCTTGGAGACTTCACAGAGAACTAATATGGCCTGTAGTTCCAGTAACTGGAGAAAACAGAGATCTGGAAAGGTAGAAGAAAAGCAAGTAAGTTCCCATATCCTTTGGGCCACAGCAGAAAGAGCATATAATGCATGCATGACAATTGAGCTTTACAGTCTTACACACTGCAGCACTACACTGCAGAAGGGCAGATGTGCTGCTGTTGTCAGTGAATAGGCCTGGAGCACAAAGTTACTTGCTCGAGGTGGCAGCCAGCTCAGCTGCAATGCTGGTACTGAACATTAGTCCACTGCAATCTAATTTGCTGAGGTCTCCATGCTGCCTCTCCTGTACCCTGTCATTTTCTCACAAAATCAGTCTCATGACTCAGGACGCAAAAGCGTCTACCTGCTCCCACCTAGTCATTAGTTCAGCAAAGACTTCTGCCACACTACTACACTTAGCCCAGCTGGCTGTCTGCTAGCCAGTGCCAGCCAGCTCCCTGGCTCCAAGAACATTGACTCATCATTGTTTTCAGTTTATATGTAAGTTGTACAGAGTAACATCACATCAGAGTTTTAGATCTGAGGTCCTCTCAAAACCCAGTTTAAAAGAAAGCACTTTTTCTAAGGCCATTACCTTGTCCTTCAGTTGCTGGCAAAGCTGCAGTGAAACTGCGAAGAAGACAAGAGCATCATTTAACCATGGGACAACACATTCCACCTTATGGACATGGCTGACTTCATACCGCTGGTTGCCAAACTCACTGGAGTGGGGAAAAAAAAAAGAGCACAGCTTCACACACAGCAGCACAGAGCATGAAAATCAACTGTTCGTTCTCACAATGGAGACTATTATAATTTCTACTACATTTAAAAGAACAACTGGCAAAGTTAGAGAATACAAACTGTCAGTCTACCTCTGACCAGACTTAGAGGGAAGCTAAATCTAAGAGCGTTAAGTTAGAAACTTTATCACTTGTCAGAGAAACACAAAAGCCAGCAACGCAAACAGCAATGCCAATAATGTTCATTTTGGACAACTCTCATCTCTAGACAAACTCATGGCACTGTATAGATGGACTGTATCCTGAAAAGTCATATCTTTCAGTAGGCCTTTAAGACCAAGTCATTAAAGAAGCACTGCTGTGGGCACCTGCGCATTCACAGGCACAGCTACAGCAAGTGACTGCACAGCTGCTTCATTTAACAGATGCTAATATTAAAACTACATACAGCCATTTGAATCTCATCCTCAGCATGCTCCTACACCTGTTACACAGCCCTTGTAGTGACTGTACTTACAATATGGCTCCAGGGTTGTGTAAAATGGACCCTCCAGCAAGCTTGACATTCTAGAAGAGAAGGAAAAGCTTTTAACACTGTAAACAAACTATGTAGAAGGACACTTAAGGTTTGCATTTTCAGTAGCCTGACATCAGGAAATGCCTATGCTGTATCTGCCTGAATACTCCATTCATAGGGAATCCATGACATTTGATCCCTTCATGAAAAAGAATCTACACAGTCGCTGAGTCCAATTTAGCTAACAAAAATAATATGAGAAGATCCAGAAGAAAAAAACCAAGACTTTTAGGAAAAATATCCTTACAGAGGAGTGCATTTCATAGAGCTTAAGAGTTTAATTCTGTTTTCACAACATACTACGCTGACCCAAACACAACGGGTAAAGCAGAAAAGTACCCATCAAAACTGTTCAGAAAACCACACATGCTACCTTAATGTAAACTGCAGTAAGAAAATTACGCCTTTCCAAAATTATAAACTATTTTGTAAGATAAAACATTACTTGGCAAAAAAATAGTTACTGGCTTTCTCCAGAGCACCAATATTTTCTTCTGGGTTAAGTGTCCATGCCCCAAACTAGATTTAGAGTCAGTATTCTGTCTGCAGCAGATATAAACACAGACACTTAAAGGCAGGTAATTTCTGCATCATCTTCTGCATACCACATTGCACCATGTAACAGTGCTTCCTCACAGTGGTACAGAGGGAAGGGTCAATAAATTAAGCTTAAGAGATAGCAGGTGTCACCTTGGTTGTGCTGGGCTGCAGCACATGAAGTTGGTAGACAGTCAGGCACAGCTTATTCAGGTTAATATAGAAATTCACAAGGATGTCTGGAGGCAGAGCAGGAGTGAACATTTTCTGATGAGAAAATAAGCAGTTTCTTTGTCAGTTAAAGGACCATTATTTCTAGTGCTGGGAAATCATTACCTTTTTCTAAGCCATACTATAGTTATCCCATAGTGAGCAGGACAGGAAAAAAAACAAAGACTAGATAGCTTGCATGCAATGTTTGTTCCTCTTGCTGCACTTGACAGAAATGGTGTACACATGATGGTGACAAAAGAGGATGGAGGTAGCATTCACAAGGGCAAATCATCCCCGGATAAGATTCCTGGGAAGAAAATAGAACTTACTCTCTAAGAAAGAGAGTCTTCATGCCCAAGTCATCTGTTTTCCTACAGATTCAGAGAAGCCAAAAATGCAGGGTTTGCACCTACTTCAGCTCTCTTTCTGCCTCAGGAAACATTTGGAAACCAATTTCCATGAGGATGCAGCACAATATCCTAACTGTTGCATGCTACCAGACTGTATGGAGATCTAGACCATGACACACTTACTGCGAGACCACTGGAGGCAATCTCTGGTAGAGTTAGAGTGGCTGGAGTGGTAAGCCGATTTCGAGCTCTTGAGAGCTGTAACATCACAGCATCCATAAGCTACAAGAAAATATACAGTACACTGCTGAGTGGCAGTCCCTGGCCAGTTCTAGATAGCATACTGCAGAATTCTACAACCTTTTGCAAGTGTTACAAAAATCACCACCAGCAATATGCACCTCCAGGAATTCAGACACTTACTGGGAAGGGGTGGCTCCCACATAAATGCAGTTTTACTGTTATCACTGCCATAGACACTTGTGAGACAGGCAGGAGCCTTTAATATCAGGGACTGAAGAGAGAACAGCTATTCATTAGAAGAATAGAACATGAGATCAATTACTGATGCTACAGAAGCATCAACAAATTCATTATGCTCTTCTGAAGAGCATTAAGGAAAAACAACAAGCTGCGTTCTAGTTATCCCCATGCCCACACCACAGATACAACAACTGCTGCATGCCCCCCCCTCTGTTCATAACCATCTATGAGCTAGGACACTAGAGAAAAGAACCAACTCATCGTGAGTTCAATCCTGCCAGAAACCACAAATGCTCATTCAGACAGACTTTCTTTTCCATAAAAAATGTGGAAAGCAACATGTCTCTTATAGAGCTCATAACCGCTAAGATGAAGTCACGTTATATTATGAATAATTTCTCATTCTGCTTCCACCCAAAAGTAAAAAAGTTTTATTTCTTAGTTTCTTCCTATTAGCAGCCCTTGCCATGTAGAGACTAAAGGGTTTAGCTTTCTCACATTTTATATTGTAATGGATTCTAATGAGTAAATTGAAGCTCTGGTAGCTTCAGTAAGCAATTCCAAGCAAAGAGCTGGGCTTTATTGCCACTCAGCAGCTGGTCTGTATCAGACCAGATATACTACTAGCAAGTAGTACTTTCAAATTGTCAGTTGTGAATACTAACAGCAATCTTTTGACAACTACCTTGTGTCTTCACTTGCCGTAAGCACTGACAGGGAAGAGCATAAGATCTGTAATAACATAATCCAAAAAATATCTAGAGAGATGCTTCCAGATTATCATCATTAGCAACAAAGCACTGACTGCTCATATTACTATTCACCAGGATGTACAGTCCATTTACTAATGCTAAACTGGCATAGATTCATACCAAATATGAGGTCACATGGTGTCATGGTTTAAGCCCATGCAGTAACTCAGCACCACGCAGCCACTCACTCTCCCCTTTCCCCATCCCCTTGGACCGATGGAAGGAGAACTGGAAGAACGTAAACCCCACAGGTTGAGATAGAAACAGTCCATTAACTAAAGTATAATAGAAAACTACTACTACTAATGATAAGGGAAATAACATAGGGAGAGAATATAAAACTAAAAAGGGAAGGGGGAAAAAACCCAAAAGCACAAGTGCTGCACAATACAATTGCTCACCACCCACCAACTGATACTCAGCCCAATCTGAGCAGCAATCTGAGCCTTCCACGTAACTCCTCTCAGTTTATATACTGGGCATGATGTGCTGTGGTATGGAATACCCCTTTGGCTACTTTGGGTCAGGTGTCCTGTCTCTGCTTCCTCCTGGCTTCCTGTGTCCCTCCTCACTGGCAGAGCATGACACTGAAAAGTACTTGATCAAGGTAAGCATTACTTAGCAACAACTAAAACACTGGTGTATTACCAGCATTGTCCTCAGATTAAAGTTGAAAACACAGCGCTGCACCAGCTACTAGGAAGGAGAAAAATAACTGTTACAGCTGAACCCAGGACACATGGATACTCTGACATATCAGGTACAACTGGGGAATCCATTTCCAGTACAAGACTCAAGACAGTAATGTACATTAACTGTCTTTGAAACAGCAAATGGAGGTAAGAAACCACACAAGTAGAGAATGCTTCCTCCTCACCTTGAGAACCTCCGAGCCTGTTTTGAACTGGTAGTTTACATCTCTGTTCATAAGCAGGTAAATGGCTTGGTTAATGTGGTTTCTAGCATCCTGGATCTGCAAAGGTACAAACACAGAGCTCTTAAGGAAACACTCTATGATTCACACTAGGAAGTAGACGTTTCCCTGATTATCTCATTGGCCCTAAGAAGATGCTGACTTCTCAAATGTTAAGGCCATTTCTGCCTAAGTACCAGACACTCAGTAACAGAAATCTGCCACTGATGCCCAGCTGCATTACTGGGTTCTTCACTCAAGGACTGGACATGCATAACAGTCTGATAGCTACAACCTGCATTGTCAATAAAAATATTGCTGCTGCTCTGAAGAAACACTGACATCATGCACTCTCATCATTGGAGGACTCTGATCATGACTGCTCAGATAGGAATTCTCACTGTTGATGGTGAGCAGTCAGGTCTAACAACATGCATAATGATTTCAAGAATTATTGCAGCTAAACCCACTGACAAATTACATCAATAGCAGCAACAGTGAGCAAAAACCATAGATTTCTAATATATTTGTAAACCACAATTGTTGAGATTGAGAGTTACGTTCAGCATCAAGAGGCTGCCATCATGCCACTTGTGTGGCACTTGACCAGGCTGAGGACACAGCTGGCTCAAGTCGCTGTCTAGCAAGACCACTTGTAGCCAGGAGACAATTACCTAAGGAGGTTAACAGGTTATCCCACTGCTTTCACAGGAGCAAGGACAAACCAGAGGAAGGAAAAAAATGGCCCTGGGAGAAAGTGACTCGTGCTCAGTTCCAGGCAGCAGCACAAAAATTGAAAAAGGGTAGATGAGATTGTGCAATAAATGGAAAAGGTAAGCAGGGAAGCCTGTATGAGAGGTGGCTGCTGGAAGATGGATAACACAGCTTGGGATATTTGTAGCACGATACATCTACACTGCTTCCCAGTACCCCTAGATCTCAGCTGAGCCTTATAGAGGCCTCCCTGCCATAGATCTGTGTACTGGTTCCTTCTCATCTAGAGCTCAGGGATGCTCTTATGAAGCATAAGGCTCTGGAAGCTACAGAGAGAAGAAAGAGATGATAATGTCCACTGCCAGATTGCAAAGATATTCTGCAGTTACTTGGTCTATGGCATCTCCAAACATCACCTCCAGTCTTTATATCTCTCAGATGCTTCTGAGCAAGCTACATAGTTCCTGTTACTCAACTCTGCAATGATAATCCTGCTATTATAAGGACTTGCTTCATTCTTACTCCACCTTGATTTTGCTGTTTTCTAATCAAGTTTCTCAAAACTTGTGTGCCTGCACCTGTGTTCCTCAGAAATGTGCCTATACTACAGTTTATTACTGATGGCTTTACTTTGCACAGAGGAACAGAACTTCAACTGGCACCACTCACTAAGGGAAGAAAACTCACAATACTTCAAAATATGAATTTTTATTTCAGAGGACAAAGACCACTACATAATCAAGGTAAATGCTTCTGCACAGAAGCCCTTCAGGCATGACTAACGCTTCACATCTGAACAATATTAGAACACAACACTTGCAAGTAAATAAAGGGAGGTATTTTCCATAAAAGCTGGTAGAAGCCTATCAATCAGGCAGCAATAGAAACCAGGCATAAAACAGGACATGCTGCTGAGCGTTATCACAGAAACTTCCTTGACTTGTTGTGAGGCATAAACAAACCCAGTCATGCTTGGCATTAACATTTCAATTTTCTAGATTTCTACGAAGTTACCAGGTAGGGGTTTCACTGCACTGCCAATGCAGTTACTGGAAACACAACTCAATACCAAATGCACTAATCACCTAGAAAAATCTGAGCCATAATGAAACATGTGGAATACATCTTTCTCCAACCTACTCAGCTACAACAAAATAGCTGCAGGAAACTACATCTTCAAGATCAGATCCTGAAATCACGTATTTCCCAGCAAAACGGGGGGAAAGAGATTCAGTGTTCTGAGCAGCCAAAGCCCTTTAGCTATGCCACAAGAGCACAGTGTGGTGAGGTTTATTCTCAGCTTAAAGAAATATTTCTGTAAGAGAAATATTTCTGTAAGAGAATGAGAGCAAGCTACTCAAAGTTGCTTTAAGTTGGTTTTTGCCCTGCTAGCCTCAGTTTTACAAGCAGACACAAGGCCAATACTTCATAGCCACCCCAGGCACTCCTTTTGAAGCATTATCACTGCTATGCAAACAGCCTTCAGCTTGCTTGTGTTTCAGGAACAAGCAGGTCCCACCTCTCTCCCCGCACCATAACCGAATTTAATTGCATCTGTTTCCTCCCTTAGTTTTTACCACCGGAGTTAATGCAAGATGGACATAACCTTGTCTCTCAGAAAGCAAGGGGCTATAGCTACTGCTTGCAAGGCACACATGCCACAGAGGGGTAGACATCTGAAGTTAACAGTACCTGCTGCAATCTCCACTGCTTGTCTTCCCGAAATGTAAAGTGCAAGAGCTGATTATTTCTGGTCATTTTCAGACTGACGTCCTTGAAGAAAGAAACAAACGCATGAAAGCAAGGAATCCCCACATGAAGAGCATGGAGACTGCCACTCCCCCTCCGTTCTGTCTCCCAGACAATCTTGGCAAGCTGTTTTCCGCTGTCCTGGCATGGCCAGAACCTCAGTCCTCCTACAGGAAGGTGTTAATACAAAGGGCAAGTTGAAAGGCCTTTAGTGAATCATGCCCTAGGCAGGTCACACAAACTCATCTCAGAAGGCCCATGAGGAAATTTGATATTAAACAACAAAAGCAGTAAAAGCCAGGAATCCCCACAGAAGTCACCTCCACCACTCACCACAGAGTGGGGGTAGGGTGGTGTTAATGCTGGATCTTAACAAATTTCAGCACTTGCTGAAACATTAAGGATTTAAAGCCCATTAGGGAAGACTGACAAAGAATACTTACTGATCATTGATAAAGCATAGTAAGGATGGCCTCTACCTTGAGGTCATTGAAGTGTGAAAAGGATGACTCCCACCCCCTGATGGTGGTTCAAAGCAAGAAGCACTGCAAGTACTCACAGCTTGACATAGGGCATCTCCCTGTAGTGTCAACACTCCTTTCACCTGGTCTGTGCTGAAATGAAAAGAAAGATCTGGGCAACACTAGTCACAAGAAGCAAGAGACATACTGAAATATCAATCAATGCCACCCCTGCCTGTCCCAGAGAAGGCTGTGTGGAGACCTCATAGCAGCCTTCCAGTATCTGAAGGGGGCCTATAGGGATGCTGCGGATGGACTCTTCATTAGGGACTGTAGTGATAGGACAAAGGGTAATGGGTTAAAACTTAAACAGGGGAAGTTTAGATTGGATATAAGGAAGAAATTCTTTCCTGTTAGGGTGGTGAGGCACTGGAGTAGGTTGCCCAAGGAGGCTGTGAATGCTCCATCCCTGGCAGTGTTCAAGGCCAGGTTGGACGAGGCCTTGGGTGATATGGTTTAGAGTGAGGTGTCCCTGCCCATGGCAGGGTGGTTAGAACTTGATGATCTTCAGGTCCTTTCCAACCCTAACCATTCTATGATTCTATGACTCTATATAGCTGACCCCCCAGGGCTCAGCTGGATTATGCAGATGAACCACACACACACTTTCATGTCTTGAGACCTTGGGTTGTGGCCAGCTGCTGTCATGTTCTTTTTCAGCCACCTCACTCTAACTGCTCGGACTAAAATATTATGTTATTTCTGATCCTATCCTTATTTCATGTATTATCTATCAAGAATTTGGTTGCTGTTACAAACAGCTGTAGCAGGCACAAACACAAGATATTAAGATTACTTACAGACATGGGAGTGATAGGCGGTTCATATGGGAGTTGAAAGTTACACACACACACACGAAAAAAACAAACACAAACCAAAAAAACCCACACCCCAAACCCTTTAAAAGGTTCTGCAAGAGGGCTTACATCTATAACGAACAACGGGAGAAGACTGAAGCATTGGGGCCATCAAGAACTCAGTTTAGCCACACCTCATATTTTAATACACTAGAACAGAGACTCTTGATATCAACACTAAGATCCACCCTCCAACAATAACGAATGAATACTAAAATCAACTTTAATATCTGAGGAATTGAACCTTCAAACCCAATACAGAATCACTGCATCATCCTATAAAACATTCACCATGCCATTTCTAAGGACTAAGGTGTACTACTTTGCTTGCAACATCTGCCAGAGTGCAGCTATTCAGACCAAGGCCTATGCTGAAGATCAAAAAATGGACAGCTACTTCAGAAGAACTGCACTTCTATAAGCAACTTCCACCAGATCTCAGTTTGCTCTGTGCAAAATATCTTTCTTACTGCTATTTTAGGGAGATTAGGACAAAGGTAAGATTTGTCCACAGAGTCAGAAACTGAGCCAAGAGCAGAATTCAGGTCTTTTAATTGCAACTCCCTACACCTAGAATCAGGAAAACACCTCTTGGCAAAACTGCTGACAACAGCACACTGATGCAACCCACCAGTGAATGGTCAGTAACCAATGACTACGTTAGAGGTGTTGGCAGGAAATGGCACAAGTCTGGCTAAGGCAGCCCTGAAACACAGCTACAGATTGTTATGTTAACCTGGCAGAAGAGTCTGGTTTTCCTTAAGCCAAAGACTTGTATTAAATAAAATCCCTTTACTCTTGGGGTGCTGTAGACTTTTGCATCAGATGCTAGAGGAACAGCACCCTGCACCACAGAGGAGAGCCCCCAACACAAGGACAGCCCCCACCAAGTGGCCTGGCAGATCAGCAGAAACCCACTGACCATGACCACTTACCCAGATGTGCTCAGCACAAAGTTCTCCTGCTTGACAGCTCCTCCCAAGCCACTGGCAGGCAGGGCAAAGCGTTGAGAGGCCTCCTGCCCGAGAAAGGACACAGTAAGTGCTGGAGTATTCACTGGGGCCCAGGACACCTCAAGCCAGGGACAAAGAGAAGAAATACAGATGCCAGCAAGTGGCCAAATGCAAAGTGATTATCTTTGCAAGCCTCCTACAATCCACCTAGCAGAACACATGGATTTTACCTCATCCTCCTGTAGGACACACAAGAAAGCTGGAGAGGGGCTTTTGACAAGGGCCTGAAGGAACAGGACAAGGGGGAATGGCTTTAACCTGACAGAGAGAGAAGATCGAGATGAGATCTTAGGCAGAAGTTCTTCCCTGTAAGGGTGCTGAGGCGCTGGCACAGGGTGCCCAGAGAAGCTGTGGCTGCCCCACCCCTGGCAGTGTTCAAGGCCAGGTTGGACAGGGCTTGAAGCAAGCTGGTCTCGTGGAAGGTGTCCCTGACCATGGCGTGGGGTTGGAACTGGATGACCTTTAAGGTCCCTTCAACTCAAACCAGTCTGGGATTCTATGACAGGTGCAGACCAGGAGAAAGCTCACTCCATGCAGCCCATGGCAAAAGGCCTTGTAAATGCCATGCTTCAGCTATCACTCTGCAGAGCCCAGCCCAGCCCTGCATGCCCTCAGGGCCATGGCAGTAGTCCTTTCTCATCATGCTCCCTGCTCTGTGCTGCACAGTGCAAGAACCATTGGTCCCTTACCCACCTGGGAAGGGTGAAACGCAGCCCTCCTTACTGGTTATACTGGCTGACAGCTCTCCTTTAATCACGCTTTACCCTTAAATCTCTAATAAATTCTTCAAAACAGACACTATATATAGAGATACTGCAGCCTAACCCTAACCTGCTACTGAGTCACATCCTGGGTTGGCACTACAGCACTCCAACCTCTCCTGGCACCCTTACCTCCACATTTTTGTCCCTGCTCTGGCATCAACCAGGAACCCCCTCAGAAACCTCAGGGCATGAAGAAGCTGGGTCTGTCAAAAACTAACCTAGCAGGACAACAGTGAGCTCTTGTGCACACAATCCCCTTTGGCCAGTTCACCATCCCCCTGCCTGGAAAAAGCTACACTCAGCAGTCCAGGCTCAGGTTGGCTGAAAAGTGCTACAGTCCTGGTTCAGCTGAACACATCACACCTCTGAAAGGGGCAGGCGGCAGCACAGAAGCAGCAATATTGGGTATAGCAAGTGAAGGATCGTTATGAAGTACATGCTACTAATTACTGCATAAGTAGTAGCTTGTCAGCTAAAGGCTATCATGCTCATTTTCACCATCACATGACAGAGTTACAGGCAGACCCAGATTCTCTGTTATAGAAGATATTCCCATCTCATGAAAATGCCTGGCAGGCACGTCTGGCTGCCTCCATGTGCCTTTTCAAAGCAGTTCTCAGCAAAGAGGGACAAGAACAGAGCAATCTAGGGGAAGTCAGCTTTACGGAGTCCTCAAGATCAGAGGGTAAGCAGACACCTGAGACACCACCAGACATGCATGAGGGACGTTTCTGTGCACCCTCTACCAAGAATTTTTTCCTTCAGGAGAAATCTACCACCCTTCCTCACACAGGAGAGCAAACAAACCCACAATACAAAAACACAGATGAAGCAAATTAAACCTTACCTTCAAAATATCCTGCAGCTGTTTCAAAACAACATGGACCTCTTCTTGTAAAAGCCATTTAAATTCTTCTTCCTACATTGTGAAAAGATAGCAGTGGAATCATTAGAAGTCAAGCACTGGAAAGAGATCTCTCAGTCACACATGAAAATTATGTAAGTTCTAAGTATTCTGCCATGTCCATGTTGTTTAAATCACATGCTAGTAGAAGAAAAACATTTAGTCCTAATTTGTTAAAGGGCCTCACTATCCATCCTAACCAAATGAACTGTCCTTATTCTTGTTTTGACATTGTTTCACAAAACAGCCTTCATACAAATCACAGGATTCGGAAATTCACAAGCTGCTTCAAAACCTGGGACATCTACTTAAGCTGCTGGAGTGGGCTGACCCTGACTGCTGGGCAGCCAGATACCCACTCGGCCTCTCCCACTCCCCGTCCTCAACAGGATAAGAGGAAGAAATGAGATTAAAAGCTTGTGGTTGAGATAAAGTCTAATTACCATCAAAGGCAAAACACACTCACCTTGCAGACAAATTAGGTAGTGAGAAACAAAGACAATACCTAAAACGTTTCTCCTCCCCCACCCTGGAACATTTTACCAGGCAACAGCAGCCTAAAAGTAAACCTAAGCTGAAAAGTGGGTGGCAGCATAGAAAAGCTGAAAACTCCCCATCACCTAGGCAAATTCAGGAAGAAATAAGCTCAGATCTGGCAGCACCACCTCCAGCCTCAGCCAGCCAGGAAGCCTGTATAAAGCAGATCCTCAAACCACACAGCTAAGCATTACTGTTAAACCACAAGGCCCCATGCTGAAAATCATCACAGAAGCAGGTGACAGGAGCAAGCAAGGGACAAAGAAGAGATTGACACTTGCTGCCTTAGAAGAGAAAATTTCCACATGGACACTACTAGAAGGAAATTAATTGAGCAGGTTGTCCACAGAAATCATGGAGAAGTGTGGTCAACTCAGAAAATTTAAGCCTGTGGTTTCTCTGCTAGACAGTCCCTGATCACCATGAAAACCACAAAATAACTACTCCCTGATGTGCTGTCACCTTATGCATGAGTAGGACAAGGCCAGTTCTGTTTCCACAAATGGTCACCCAAAGCAGGTACACACTACTATAACCTAGGCAGAATTATCCGTTACCCTTCAAACCAGCGTGGCTGCAGGACTACTGACTTTCACCATTTAATCCTGTTTTGGGTTTCTGGGCATCACACCAATACACTGGATTCCTTGTTCTTTTGTTCTCTGTTACACTCACTCTCCTTCAGGCTCACAAAGGAATAGAGCTCAAGCAAGTAACACAGACACCTTTAGTGCCTCCGCCACCCTACATGTTTTCACTGCACATCAACACTGGTATCTTTCACCCCCCAACTGACTGCACAAGATCTTCCTGCCCCAGTATTAATTTTATACTAAGTCAAGTTCATTCACCATGTATACGTAACTAAATGCCTTGTGTTTTGGGGGAATGCAGTTGTAGCATTCTAACGCACAGTAACTTTAGAAAACCATGGTTTTCACATGTGGCTTTCTGCCCAGGCCAGATGCATCTCTCAAATTCCATCCTTGGAGAGGAAGCTTTCACTACTTCTTGCAGACTGTGTTCAAGGAGGCATCTGCAATATCAGCAGGTCCAGGCCTTCCCTTACCTTTATCAAGGCAACGAGGTTGCTCTGACATGTATTACAGAATCCCAGATTCATTTGGGTTGGAAAGGATCTTTAAGACCATATGGTTCCAACCCCCTGCCACAGGCAGGGCCACCTTCCACTTTCCACTAGACCAGGTTGCTCCAAGCCCTGTCTAGCCTGGCCTTGAACATTGCCAGGGATGGAGCATTCACAACTTCCTTGGGCAGCCTGTTTGAGTGCCTCACTACTCCCACAGTAAAGAATTTCTTCCTTACATCTAACTTAAATCTTCCCTGTTTAAGTTTTAACCCATTACCCTTTGTACTATCCTGCCTATCATCTGCTGGGGCTGGTCCTCCACCAAGCAGGATGCTGGGCTATGAAAAACACCAAGGTCACGTAACCAGTGATTTACGTAGATAGGGCACTCAGCTGCGCCCGGACCCGACCGCGGCCAGCGCAAGGAGCGGCAGCAACCAGCTTAGCGAGGGCCGCCACGATAGCTGAAGATGGGCTCTGCAAGAAAGAGTAGTGCTGAGGGCAGCACGGCACCGGAGCCCGAAGCTGGCATCAAAGCCCCACAGCACAGCACGCAGCGGTGACAGAACGGCATTCACAGAGCGCTGCAGCCATCCAGGGGCTTGTGGCTAACCGCCCAGCCCACGAGCAGAGGACAAGAGGAGTAGAGGAGTAGAGGAGTAGAGGAGCAGAGCCGGAGCCGCAAGCCCCCAGTCCAGCCGACTCACCAACACCGTTCGCTCCACGGCGCTCGCCATCGCCACCGCCATACCACCATCCGCCACCGTCCCCGCCCCCTCGCTGCGCCCTCGGCTGCCCCCATTGGCTACAACCGCTGCTTCTCTGCCCGGCAACACAGCCGAGGCCTCGACTGATTGGGCAGCACCGCGTGGCGAGGTGACGTTAAGAGGGGGAGGGACAGCGCCGGCGGGTGCGACACTGGTACCGGCAGGATGTCACCAGCAGAAGTAGAGGTATTTATTATTCCTATCTCCTGCCAGCCATCGCTGTGATTGAGAGATAGGTCACTTTGGGTAAAATTGGAACCCCAAGTCAAGCTGTGTACCTCCTGTGTTTTCATTGCCCTTGTGGACCTGTTGGAGCGAGCCTGGAGGAGGCCACTGAGGTGCTGCAAGGGCTAGAGCAGCTGTGCTCTGAAGCCAGGCTGAGAGAGCTGGGCTGGTTCAGCCTGGAGAAGAGAAGGCTCCTTAAGGGGAGACCTTAGAGCAGCTCCCAGTGCCTAAACGGGCTACAAGAAACCTGGAGAGGGGCTTTGGACAAGGGCCTGTAGGAACAGGACAAGGGGGAATGGCTTTAACCTGACAGAGGGGAGACTGAGATGAGCTCTTAGGCAGAAGTTGTTCCCTGTGTGAGAGGTAATAAAGGGTTAATGAAATTTTGCTTTCACCAAGCGTATGTGGCCTGCAAAAGATAAAAGCTGATCAGATATGACCATCCTGTAATGTAACACCAGTGAGAGAAACTGAAAGAACTAACACCTACAGGGCTGTTCAGAACTGGCTGAAGAGCCAGGGTGAAAAGTTCACCTTAAGAGGAAGACAGTCTTACTTCACCCCTGAAGACCCCGGAAACGACCACCAGGAGGCAGAGAGCATACACCGAAAGGAGGAGACCAGGGTGGACTTCGGGGAGTCATTTCGGAGAAGCAATTGCAATAGTTCCTCCCTGTTCCTGGGATGACTCTGAATATGTATTCGGCTGATGCAATAGAGAATGGATAAAAAGCTTGTGTACGGATACAACGGGGCACCTCTGGCTATGGTCATGCGCCCAGCGCTGTTTTCTTTGATCCACTGACTTTTTCCCTAATAAATTTTTTAGAATTGAGCATGTTTCTCACACCTGTGAGGGTGCTGAGGCACTGGCACAGGTTGCCCAGAGAAGCTGTAGCTGCCCCATCCCTAGCAGTGTCCAAGGAAGGTGTTCCTGCCCATGGGAGGGGGCTGGAACTCGATGAGCTTTGAAGTCCTTTCTATCCCAAACCAATCTGTGATTCTGTGACAATTCTATGAATAATGGGTAAAGACTTTGAAGTCTCGTAATTTCCTCTCAAAACTCTGAAACTGCAGTAAGTTTATTCTGGCATTGAAGTCTCTTTGTTGAAGTTAGTGGGTTTTAATGCTAGATTTACTGCAGGTGAGAGGTGGCGAAGCAAAGAGCACCATCATCTTCATTGCATCAGTGAGGTGGCTGTGGAATGGAAGGCACTGTTCATTCAGAGAGCACGTAAAATTCTGCTACTACCTGTTCCTGCTGTAGGCACAACTAATGTGGTGGCCCTGCTCCCCCACCTTCTGCATTGCTTTCAATTACAGTGCTAAACCTGAGGTTTTCCTTACTGTAGCATCTGTCATTCATATTAGCTAAAGCATATTAAGTATTACACCTCAGTAAACGAACAGCTGCTGCTGTTTGACAGCAACTGCTGCCTGGATCATCAAAAAGCAATATTCTATAGCTTGGAAACACTTCAGTTAGGCAATCTTGTCCTAGGAAACCCCACTCACTGCTGAGTTGGTGCTCTTAAGAATTAGAGCTCAAAAAACACCAAAAGCCAGAAGGACAGGTGCTCCAGACACAGCAGCTGGGCACCAGGCTCCCAATACCTGGCCAACACAAGAAGTCACCAACAACAGAAAATTCCTGGGCCTCCACCTCTCAGCATTCCTTGCTTTAATACAAAACCTTCCTCCTCCTCTTAGGCCAGATGCACACAGCCTTCTGCATGTAGAGTCTGGAATCTATCCCAATTAATCTTTGTAGTGCCTCACTGACAAGATCAGGCTTCTGCAAGGGCCAAAATGCTCTCACGCATACTGCTGGTTTCCAGCATCTCTGAGTTTTGAATGTTTAGTGGAATGCACAAAATTCTTTAGTACCGCACCTGAGGTTTGACAGGCTTTAGGAACTGTCACAAGACCATCGTGTTACCAAGAAAGGTTTTATTCTTTTTGCCAGTAGCTTTGTTAATTGCACAAAAAAAAAAAATTGTTTTGCCATTTAAACATTTTCACACATCCTATTCTGAATGACAAACATTAATTAAAAACAAGGCAAAAAATAAAAATTCACAACCTTAATTAACTATAGGATCTATCATTTAGGAAAAAATGTTTTTCTTACAAGCTTTTCACAAGTGTCACATTTTCTCTTTAAAAAGGAGGGAGTCAGAAAAAGCAAACTGCTAAAACAAAAATCCTCATAAAAGGAACTTTACAGAATTCTCAACAATATTAAGACAACACTGACTAGCCAGTTTTATTAGAGCATCTCAGCCTCCCCCTTTTTCCTTCCCCCAAATCTCAGGCGTAGAACAGATGAAGATCCATGTTCAGAGGCTACAGACATAAATATAAGAATCTGAGCGAGACTGACATGAGTTCATCTCAAACGGCATCTGAAGCAGTTCGGTTTTCATGTTTTCTCTCTCCTCACTTCATACCCACGTCAGAGCCTCAGTCTCCTGCTCCTCCCTGGACCACCGGTGAGTGTACTTCACCTTCCAGCCACTCCACATCCGCCTTCCTCGCCAGGAAGCTGCAGTCAGTCTTTCTCAGGATTTACAGTGTTGAAGTAGTCTGCACCTGCCACTTCCACATAAATAATCAAATCCGTTTTGAGTACTACAGTATTTCTGGAAAACAATACTGCAGCAGCAGGGTGCTAGGGAGCGTTTCCCCGCTCACAAATACAGTTGAGTTCACTATGAAATACAGGTCACGGGACTTGAGACCTCCTTTTGTACTCTCACTCCATCCAGAGGCACCACAAAGTAAAGAGGGAGATCCTCCATTCATTTTGCTCAGAACCATTCACCTTCACTCTCACCCAAAAGACCTCCGCAGGGACAGGTCAGGGATGCTGCTGCACTGGCTCAGGATAGTTTCATTCTCAACTGGACCAGGGACAGTACCTTCCTTTTCCTCCCAAAAGATTTCTTATACTATAAAACCTAAAACTTACCTCCTGCCCCCAAAAACACCATTTCCCTAGATGTCCTCAATACACAATTCACGTAAGTGATTTCTTAACTGCAGTATGTTTAACCAAGGACTTCTGATGCTAACAGCTGAGCTCTTCTGGATAGGGGAAGCGCAAGTGTGTCAGAAGCAGGCTAATGGCTGGTTATCCTGGGTAGTTATACATGCCTTTAATATGGATATCTACATGCAGGATGGCAGTTGCACCATCTAAGAAATATGTGTAACTAGTACTGTTCACGCATACCACTGACAAATGGCAAACTGATTTCTAACAGTTCTATTACTAGATGTTCACCACAGGACATAATGTGCAACACAATTATTAGCCCACAAATAATGGGGCTCACAGGCAGTGAAACAGTCAACAAAGTAACATTTATAGCATTAGGTGTTAGGTGTCACGATTCATAAGAAGTATCTAATACTTTCTCTGTTTCTTAATAAGGTGCCCCTGAATCATATGCACATGCTGCACAAAGCAGGATTGGTAAGAAATCCTAACCCACAGGAACATTTCCTTACACAGCCATGAAGTTACCAGAAAAATAAGATAGCAGGAGGGGCAGACTTCACAGGTTTAAAGGAACATGGTTTCATTTGAATTTGCTTTCTTTCCTGTCAGAATCCCAACCCAAGAAAGAAGATTGTGCCACTGAAGAGATTTTGGCCAATAAAATTTCTTACTGGCATTTTACTAACTCTCAAGTCTAAAATGCAAGAACCCTTCTAAAAGGCTAATGCTGAGAACAGTAAGTGCGAATGGGGAGGAAACAGAAAAAAACCCTAAACATGCTCTGTGAATTTGAGAGACAGGCTGAGGGTTATTCTGCTAGCAACACTGAGAGCATCTCTGTTCTCCATCCTTGGCATCTGCAGTTAAAGTCCCATATTTCTAGTCTAGAAGCTAGAAACTCAGTAGTGAGTGGCCTTAGCCTCCCATTTTATTTCCTAGTCTTTCTAGAAGTTACTGTCTGGCCACAGAGTCACAGGCACAGGAAAAGGTTTCACACTGTGCTAGTGTCATGCCCAGAGTAGTAACACTAAGAACATGTATGGAAAATCTGACATGTATAAAGATCACAAATCAGTACAGAAAATCATCCCTGTGAGGCAGGCATTCATCACCCACCTTTCCAGATGGGCAAACAGGCAAGGGATATAATGACCATGCAAAGGCCAGACAGAGAGCATGGGAAGCAGCTCAGGAATCCCAATCTCTTTGCTCTGTAATTGTTCTTTTCGCCCCTTTCAGACTCATCACTCTGACTGTGACACTGCTGTAATCCAAGACACCTTTGTCATTACTGTCTACAAGGATAAAAAAAAAAAAACAAGAATAAAGCAAGTGAAGCAACACAACATAAACTAAGACCAGGAGCAACCCTAAGGTTTGCTCCTTCCCCAGAATATCTCTGCCTCAGTTTTAGGCTACATGTTACTCTTGCAGTTTTCTATGCAAATGTGTTGATATTCAATGCTGTTTTGGGGATGGGCAGCTGTGATTAGCCCTTTAGGAGGCTCACTTAACACTGGCATTCTCTCATTTTCATGAAGGTTTGTGTTCCTTAAGCTACAGATGTAATCTGTTCTTCTTAACTGTACAAGGAATTCCTCCATCAGCGTTTTGGGGAGGTGGAAGTTTAAACTGAAACAGAATCAAGACAGTGTTGCATGCAACCCCATTACCTTCTGAACTGCCATTCTCCTCCATGGGAGGTGCTATATTCTCTAAGAGTGGCCAATTAACAAGAATGCTCCTCACCTTACCTGGGACCAAGGACTTTACTGATATTCATAGGTAGATGGGAAGTATGTCACCTGTCCTCTAGATGCAAAGA